ATGAAGTTTTTACTTGTGGTTTTAACTTTAGTTTTGGTGAAATACAGAGTGCATACTTTATTGCATTAGCATCAATTTCTAGCTAAGAAAAAAAAAAACAAGTATTGTATTTACAAATTATTTCCATTTAATAAATTAGAATTATAAAATATAACTTTTTGAAAGCAACCATAACCTCTTAGAGCATAAAACAACCATTAGAAATTAAAATCTAACCTTTAAAAGATTAATTCTTTGAGAATCAATCTTAATTAAAAGATAGCATGCATCTGGAGTAAAAACTTCTTCAATGTACTCACAAACCTGTGATAATGACAAACATACTTAAATCTTATTAAAAAGAAAAGTTTAAAAATGTGGTAAAAAACATAAGGAGAACCATAAAAAAAAAATAAAATGCAAAGCCAAGCTTTACGTCCACCTTTCTATCAATAATCTATTGATAAACAAATTGCAATTCAATAACTTTTGCAAAAAATTTACAAATATTTTAATAAATTTAAATAATTAAAATTTACCAAAAAAGCAGCCATTGGGGTTGAGCAGTCTAAGGTGCTGGTCTATTTTATTTCAAAAAATCTTGTTTTTACCCTCAGACAATCCTATAACTCTGAACACTTGATAAACTAAACTCACTACACACTGAGAAACAAGTTTAGTGTGGTAATACAAGAGAAAGAGTGAGGGCAAAGATGGTATATATAATTTCGGAGTATTTTTTGCACTAATACTATTGTCTAAAAAATTCTTTACTTTTTAATAAAATAAAAAAATAAAATAATACTCAGAAAATGAAATTTAGAAAACACATTGAGATAAAAGCAGGATTACCTCTCCTAAAGTCGTTTTTTCAACTCGTCCTTTCACACTGCGTGCATATTCTATATCATCATCAACCTCTAGAGGCGCTGTTATTATAGGGGTACTTATCTTCTTTGAAGCATTAATAATTTCCTTAATACGAGGAACACCAAGTGTAATGTCTTTTAAAAAGTTAAAGAACTTAACTAAAATAATTTTAAAACAAGAATTATTATATTAAAAAAAGAATCTTGTTCAGTTTTATTTTATTTTATTTTTTTAATTCTGTAAAAATGTAATTACACAATCTCCATAAAACTGAAAGCTAAATAATTCATTCTGTAAATTATTAGTCATTATAGAACAAATTTGTTATCATCACTTAATAGAAAAGATACTCATAGTAGCTACTCCAGCAAAATGGAAAGTTTTTAAAGTCATTTGTGTTCCTGGCTCACCAATACTCTGAGCACATAATGCACCAACAGCAGTACCTGGTTCACACCTAGCATGTAAATATCGCTTGGCACATTCATTTATAGTTTTTATTACATGAGTTTCTGCTATATGAGCTGTACCTGTTCATAACATTATAAAAGTAAATCTTAATTTATTCAAAAATATAAAAAATAATGTATAACAAGTTGTAATACAGTTTGTCTTTATTTATTTACAAATATTTTTAAGTTTATAAATTTGATTAAGTTAGTTTATATTTTTTGTAGACTTAAAATAGCATTTTTTTTTTCAAATAACTTTTTATAAGTCAAAATGTATACAATATCTATATAGATATTTTAGCAGGTATTGATACAGATTATCTTTTACCATGGTAAGCATTGATATATACACTACCGTTACTACAGTAGGGTAATGGGTATTTGTTTTACTTTTGCATGGTGGGTACTAACCTATGTTGGTTAATAGGTATCTATGGAAGAAGTGGTGGTCTTGCTACAATTCAGAGGAAAATATTTAAGGAAACTCAACTAAAATTTTACCGAGAGCATGGGTACACAAGCAGTTTGAATTTTGTATCATGATCACCATGATCATCATTATATTTATCATAATCATTATCATTCTCCAATCCTAAAACACAATCTTAAGCATCTTTCCTTAACTGGTGTCATGTAACACACTCTAAATATTCCTACTTCTCTATTTTTACCTCCTGAAATTGCAAACTATTTTTATGTTGATCTTGATATTTAATCATCTTGATGTTTTAAATGATTCATGTAATGTTACTTTTATAATTATATTTAAATAATGTTTATTTTTATTTAAATTACAAAAAATATTAAAATCAATTTGTAGATTTTTGTATATATAAACTATTTTATGAAACAATTTTAAACTATAAATATAAGATTTATAATTTAATTAAAAATATTTTTAATTTGTGTAATAAATAACTGTGCTGTTTTATCAACATTAGCATTATAAGCCAGAATGACTTTCTTAATTTTGCTTCATTGCAGAATGAGCTTTAAGTCAATATCTAAAAAACGATTGTAATACATATCATCTAACATTAATATAACAAAATACCTTTTCTATTTGACAGCAACCTAAACAAGAAAAAATATGTTTAAACACCATTCTACAGTTAAAACAAATATTTAAAAATATAAAACAAAAAACTTACAGACTTTCTGAAAGCTTCAAATTTTTTACTAATTTTTTAAAGAAGTCCCTAAAGCAAACCATAAATATATATACATATATATATATATATATATATATATATATATATATATATATATATATATATATATATATATATATATATATATGAATCTTTCTAATATAGATTATATTAGAAAGATTCATATTTTATCAATTTTTAAAATTCAAGTCCTACCTGGAGAGGTTGACAACCAGAATAAAAAAAAGTTTTGCTGAAAAAATTTTGATGACATGATTTTGATGATTGATTTGGACCTGCCTGTCCAATTTTTGTATAAAAACGTATCAAAATTTAGAGGTCTGGTGGCGACCTTTAAAATTAACTCAGAAAGCCAACTTTTCTGCACTACTGTCCATAATTATTTGAATGGTAATACTTTTCGATATAAGATATCTAAGTTTTACTTACTATTGGGAGAGAAACTGTTAGCAAAGTCTACCTGAATTATATGGTTCCTTCTTATTTATTAGGTTTAAAAAAAAATATTAAGTCACATTAGATTAATTTATAATTTACTTGCCTTTTAATCAACCTTAGAGACAATGACCACCATGCATATTCTTGGCATTCTACCCAACAACTTATCCAATTTGCCTAAGTCAAATTTATGCCACTAACTAATAAGTTTTTTCCTCATCTTATGCATAATTAGGCATTATTTTTTAAAATTTTTTAATTCCTCTCATAAAAATCTGATAGGAGAGAGATTTTGTAATTAAGGAGGCTAAATCATATTATTCAATATTTAGTTGTTTTTGAACTCAGTCAAATAACTTACACAAGTTTAAAAAAAATATGTTTTAGATTTAAGCTTTTTGTCATTTTCTTCTGAAAAATAAATTGCTTTCCATTTTTTCCGATGGTGTAGAATAACTTTTTTAAGTGTACAAGTAAACTGATTTTGTCATTACTTCCTCTATTTTTACAAGTCATATGTGGCATTCCAACCAAAATAGCCTCAAAAAAATTAAACATATAAAGGAGTTGAATAAAAAACAGCATTTTTAAAAATAGTTAATGTCATTCAAGTAATTATGAATGGTAGTATATATGGTAAATTTTGGACTAGTTATTAATAGTAGGGTAGGACCAAGTAGAAACATGGTGGTTTTTATTCCACATGATCTGGAGAAAGTGTAAAAAAAAACCAGGTTTTTTACGTATAATGATGCATTACTATGTATAACTGATGCTGGTTTATTCTTCATATTTAGACCAAATACGAAAATTAATATTAAAACTAAGCATTATTAACCTTTATTTAAAATTTTAATGGCTACCCCCTCCCGTCACCCAATGTTCAAAGATTACCCTCACTGTTTAATGTTCAAAGACTACCGTCGCCCAATGTTTAAAGACTACCCTCACTCTCCTTCATTGGAGGAGGGACGCCCCCAAAGTTATGGAAATTTCATTATAATTCATATTATTTGATATCACTTTGTTTTCTATTAAAAAAAATACATAACTTGGCAATATAAATATTGAAATCATGATATGTAAATATAATATAAAGCCATATATAAATATAAAATATAAATCATATTATTTTTTTCTCTGCTTGCCTATTGCTTTGCAGGCAAGGTGCAACTTTTCCTTGGAGCTGAGATTGGATCTCTTCTTTGCTGCACAGCTAGTAGAAGTTCTTGACAATTATCCTCATTGTGAACAATGTTCACAAACTCTGATACAAGTTTTAAAGCTCTTTCAGAATTATCATTCACTACTTCAAGTTTACTTAAGAAAATCGGAAGATATTTTGAAATGGTCAACATAGCATCACATAGTAGCAGGACAGTTTAACCAAAGTTACCAAACAGAGTAGAAAATCAAGACTTCTTTCTTCTTTGAATTCAATTCTTTCCTTTGGGCAGCAGTCAAATTATAAAGCAGCTGTTTACTCAGTATCTGAATCTTTAAATATTAAATTAAAGCTGAATGGGACTCTTTCAGTGATTTTCTTCATGATGGCCCTTGGGTAGAAATCTTTTGTCTTCTAGTTGACAAATGTGTTTCTTACATAATTATGTGGATTCAGGATGGCATGGAATCTTTTATTCCATCTCAAAAATTCTAGGTCAAGCCTCACTCTTCTCCATGGTTTTCCTCACATTGAGCTGCTGCAATTGCCAATTGAAACTATTACTTACATATCTATCAGCACAATAATTCTCCAGAAAACAGACATCTTTTTATTACTGCTAGAAACCATTGTAAAACGTTTTTGTCTAACGCCGAAGCCTGTTATTCTCAGGTCATGAAATCTCGTATTTTATTACAAAAATTAGGCTCTCATGACTTCTGGAGAATCTTCAATAGTATCAATAATAAGTGCAAATCTGTAATTCCATCTCTCATGTATAGTTCAGACTTAGTCACCTCACCTAAAGACAAAGCTGAATTGTTTACTAAGAACTTTTTGTCAATATCATCTCTTAATTTCACTAGTTGCGTTCTACCTGATTTAGCCGTCAAACATATTGATCCATTACTTGACATTCATATCACTCCAGCTTCTGTATCTAAAGTGATTCCTGCTTAGACTCTTCTACAGTTTGTGACCCAGACAACATAGCCGTTAAAGTCTTGCAGAAGTGTTTTCCGGAGCTGTCGTCTATCCTTTCAAAACTATTCAACAAGTGCTTATCAGAGTCTTGTTATCCAGCCTGCTGGAAAGCAGTATCTGTTATCCCTATTTTTAAAAATTCTGGAAAGCAATCTGATTCGTCGAACTACCGTCCCATTAGTCTTCTTCCTATCATAAGCAAGGTTTTTAAACTTTTAATTAACAAACACTTAGTCTCTCATCTTGAATCTATTAACTTACTTTCTGATCATCAATATGGTTTTTGATCTTCTTGTTCTACTGCTGATTTGTTAACAGTTATTACTGATTTTTATCGCCCATTAGATAAATATGTTAAGGCTATCGCTCTTGACATTTCTAAAGCATTTCATAAAGTTTGACATGCTGGTCATCTCTATAAGCTTTCTTCTTACGGTTTATCTGGAAACATCTTTAAGATTATTGAATCCTTCCTTTCCAATTGTAGTATAAAAGTTGTCCTTGATGGAAAGCACTCTTTTTCTGTAACCTCAGGGGTTCCTCAAGGTTCAATCCTTGTCCCTAAACTTGATTTAATTTACATTAACGATCTTGCAGATATTCTCACATCTAAGGTGGCTCTGTTTGCTGATGATACTACTATTTATTTATGTCATGATAAGAAGCCAAAACTCTCTGATTGCTGGGAAGGGGCATTTGAGTATGAAAAGGATCTCATTTCTGCTACAGCATGAGGCTCACAGTGGCTGGTGAACTTTAATTCAGATAAAACTCAATTTTTTTCAGCCAATTGTTATTACAATAATTTAGACCTTCCTTTATTTATGAATGGTAATGTACTCAATGAATCATCTACCCTTCATCTTCTAGGATTAACTCTTACTTCCAATCTTTCTTGAAAACCATATACAAATCCGTTGCAAAATTAGCATCTGCTAAAGTTGCATCTCTTTATTGAGCTCGACACTTTATTACTTTGGATTCTATTCTTTATCTCTATAAATCTCAAATCCGACCTTGTATGGAATACTTGTATGGAATACAGATCTTCTAATGATGCCCTATCTCCTTTAGACAAGATTCACAAACGCATTGTAAACATAGTTAGACCTGCTCTTGCAGCCAACTTACAACCATTATAACATCGTCGAAATGTTGCTTCTTTTTCTCTTTTTTAAAAAATACTATAGTGGGCGCTACTCTAAAGAGCTTGTGTCTCTTGTGTCATCTTCCAAAATTCATTCTTGTGTTACTTGTCATTTAATTAAGTCTCTATCTTTTTCTGTGACTGTTCCTAAGTGCTCCAAAAACACTTATTCCACTAGTTTTTTTTCCTCGAACATCAGTTCTTTGGAATTCGCTTCTATTATCTTGCTTTCCTGATTCATATAATTTGCAATCTTATAAGTCGTCTGTCAATCATTATCTTGCTCTACAATCTTAATCTTTTCTCTTCCAGTAACTTTTAACTCTAATTAGTGGTTGCTTACAGCCTTGTTGGAAGCAAAGATGTTTAAATAAAAAAAATTGCTTTTGATATGAACCTAGCATAAGAAACATCCTTGAGCTTGAATTTTGAAAACAATTTCAGAACATAGATACATCAGTAAGTTCCATAACTCCTAGCAATCCCCTCCAATTTTGCGTGCAATTTCATGCAAAGACCACACAAATACTATTTGATTTTGAAAACTTAACGATAGCTGTTAAAAGGATCCCAAAGTGTCAAGACAAGTTGTGTTCATATTAAAGAGAATGATAAAAAGAAAGTTTAAGCTGAAATTTTATGAGTAAAACAAAATAACAAATATATACCAAGAAAAACTAGCTTTTTTGTTTTACTCAAAGCTTATCCATGTAAGCCAGTTGCTTTAAGTCTTTAATATATATGCTGCAATCTACAGATTTTATAATTTATTTAAGCACATTTAATTCTAAAGAGTTTTACTATATGATGTCATTGTAGAATTTCAATAAGAAATCTAAAAATTCTTTTTCTCGTCGTATAGAATTTTTTTATTACTTAAGAATTTGTTAAGTTACTTATTATATAAAAGATTTTTATTTTCTAAATTTTGCAAAGCATTAAAAATATGTATAAAATATTTCAGACATATTAAGCTTGTCTATTGCTATAAACTGTTTTTGTGTTTTATTTATTGTTATATTATTTTGTGTTATATTTGTGTTATATTATTTTGTGTTATTTTTGTGTTATATTATTTATTGTAATTAAATGATTATTATCCTTATTAAGATTCTGTTAAAAAAATTATTTTGTAAAACCTTATGAAAGTTTAATTAACAGCATAAACTTTTGTATTATTTAACCTTATGAAAGTTTAATTAACAGCATAAACTTTTGTATTATTTAACCTTATGAAAGTTTAATTAACAGCATAAACTTTTGTATTATTTAACCTTATGAAAGTTTAATTAA